GCAATTTCGCTTTTCTTCGTTCGGCAGAGCAATTTCTATGTAAATAATTTTATCAAACCGTCTCGCTGTGTTTCGGTAAAGATAAAGAATAAATAAGGGGAAAAATGGAGGCGGGTCGAACGAAAAGGAGGCGAGACCGAAACGGCGGAGGATTCAAATGAAATTCCGTATTTCGTTTTACGGCCACGCTCGATTTAGCGAGCGGTTCAATGGCGATGAGGCCGAACCGGGGGATGAAAAGGATGCAACCTGCGAAGGGGATGCATTCATTTTGCATGGGTCATAAGACTTCCTTGCGATCTCGGAGAGGCCCCGAGACTCTTCTGCCGAGGTTACTGCACTTCAGGGAGGAGTTATTCTGCTCATCGACCACCAGGAATTCTCGCTGAACACTTCTTGGCAAATTCTCGAGGAAACGCAACGCGCGGTGAAAGGTTCCGTTGCTATACATGAAATGTTGATGCAAACCCGTTGCATGCAACGACTTCTTACAGGTTGATCGTTGCGTGCAAGGAATTCCCCCGGGGCCATAAATAATTTCGTTGATCTCGTCTTTCAATTCGATGTTCCGATCGCGAGCCTTTGTTCGACGAATCCTCGCGAAAACAAAAAATACGCCAAGCATCTACCTCAATACCCACTTCACGTTTTTCGATAACAGCGAACGAATGAAAGCGTGGTATGTCATTCGTCGCGAAAAATTTATTCCGGCATTATAATGCAAACTTCAAACGTCGGTTTTCTTAACAACGAAGAAACCTAATCAATATTTTCCTTTCTCGTGCTCATTTTTCCGCAATTTTATAGAAAGAAGTTTAATAAAAGAGATACGAGAATGCGCATTGTAAATACTGCAGAAAAATTAGTTCTTATCGACCGCTATTTTACAGAGAGTAGAAGGTTACAGTTCTTCGCGAATATCTCGTTACCTATCAGTTCTACGACAAAAGCGGTTATTACAAAATTTATAGCCCAGGAAATTCTCTACAAAAAAGGTTATACGAGTTTCCTTCGTAGGAGTACGATTTTTATGTACGATAGCTGTATAAAGGTTAAAGTACGAGGGTTGAAAGCTTGTTAGCCATCGTACACAAAAATGGTTACACCTACGATAAACTTACATATAACTTTTCTTGCAGAAAATTTCCGAAGTGTTTCGGCAATAATTTGTTGTAGAACGAGATATTTCATTTGCAGCAATCTTGCACGTTCCCTAAGGAAATACACGAAACGGATCAAAGATGCAGTGATTCAACGGAAGGTGCCAGGAAAGTTTCCTACGCGTGGATTCGCTCGTTTAATTATCCTTTCGAACAACGCCGCGGTTGGCAAAACATTAATTGTTCGGTTGATTGGAATGTCTAACGAACCTCATCGAGCCTCCTCTCTCTGCACGAGCGCGTCTAAACTTTTTAATGGATCCGCATTCCATTTTCCATCCCCTCTGTTCTTTTTTTTATTTCGCCATTTCCATCAAGCTAATAACGAGTCACAGTGCCCCTATCTCTCTGTCCTGGGTTGTTCCAGGAAACGGAGTTATTACGAACAAGAATACCAGCACAAACGATTCGCGGTTAACCCGTAACTGGCAACCCGGTATCGGACCCCTTGCAATTTTTTCTTCTCTGGAATATTTAACTGAGGTCTGAATAAAAGGGCAGGAACGTGGTTTTTTAGGTTAGGTTCAGATGTAAATTACAAACGTTTGGAACAGTATAAAAGTTTTGCTATTATTAAACTCTAAATTTTCTGAAATAAAAACTCTAAAAAATCAGCTACAAATAAATAAAGTTTTGACGAGACAATTTCTCTTCGTGACGGACCGAAAACTGGAGCTGTAGGATAAAACGTACGCGTTTAACGACGCGAAGACATTCGGTTGAAAGGCGTAAAGACAGTACGAACGAAATAGAGCGATGTGACGGGCAGAATGACGAAGAGTGCGCGGGGGTAGTTTTGCTCGTTTCGGATGTGGAAAACATCCCCTCGATGAGACGATGCGGTTACGTCGGTTTTCCTCCTTCTTGCACCCTTCGTACCTTTAACCGTACTTGCGTATCCCTGAACAGGTTACAAACGACGGGCACGGTATTACAAGCCGCAAATTACACCTCCGCCCTTGCTGCCACGCGAATGTGCGAGCCCAAGACTGTTGGATTACACCCCTGACTGCGAAAGCTTCCGCTGGAATACCAGGCCTGCCCTTCTCGAAAACGGAACGCTCACCGAGATAAATTAGGGAGAAGAATATTAACTGTCGTTAGCTAGACAATTATTGGGACTCGGTAATGCGTGAAAATGTTCCTTCTTCGAACACGTACGACTTTCGCTGCATATTCGGAACGTTCATTTATTTTAATTAACGTCTCTCTATAAATTAACTTCATAATCGTTACACATACTTCTGCAATAATTCACGCTGACAAATATGCGCCCGGAAAACTATGGATGTTAATTTTGCAACGGGTATACAGCGTGTTAAACGCTGTTACGAATGTTGGTAACCTGTTTGTTATTAGTTTCCCAAAACGTTCGTGTATAATTAGCTACCAAAAGTTTGCGGAAAATTAATGGGAAAATTGATGGTATTAAATTTACCTGAATTTGACAAATTACAATATGCATCAACTCTTCTTGATGTTTTAATTGTTCGTATCTCTATAAAAGCGAATATAGTGGTAATCGACAATGTTTGCATTCAATCAACTACAGATATATTTACCAAACAATCATTAAACAGATCATGTAACTAATGTACAATAAATCTGCATCGAATTATACTGCATCGATGACATTAACAGTTCGTCAATTAAATCGAACGATATATAGAATTAATCAATAATCAGTGTGAATTCAGAAACGTTGAACCGATTATTTTGCAGAATTCGACAGCACTAAATAATGGAATCAGAGATGAATAAATAATCGAATCGATCAGTGCTAAGTAGGTCGTTGTACGTTAATTTAGCATTCTCGTAACACGGAATGTTCGTGTTCTCGACGAAAAAAAACCGGATCGTAAAGAAAGAACTTCTACTAAATGTTTCTCGCCTAGTCGTGTTATGGGCGGCAGGAAACGGGGAAACTAAGTCGTTGGCCAAAAATTACGTCGGGAAGAAGGCGGAAAGTTTTCGGTGTAATCTCGTGCTGCGGTTTAATTTTCCGGAATTATGCATCCGCTGGAAAACGCGCATATCTAAATTCCCTCCGCCCCTTGGCCGGCGATCCTTTTCGTCTTTTCGACCATAATAACGCCGGCACAAAGGGAACCTCACGGTATTACGTCGTTTCATTAATTAATTTACACCGGCGCAACACTGGATTACGAAGCCCGTGAATGATTCCGTTCTTTCGTCGGCCAGAGGGTGCCCGATGTATCGTGAAACGGGGAAAACGATATCATTTACTTCTTGTTTGCACAAATGAAATTATGTGGAGAAACAAGTCTTTCGCACGCGATAAGGGATGATAAATAATTTTGTGAATGTACATTGATGAAGCACATATTGGATTTCATGTAGTCATTCTTTTATATAAACATAGATGTGTAGAGGACACACGTGGTTCAGAGATGAATTATTGTATGATAAAAGAGATAGAATGAGTGTATGATAATAAAAATGATTTTGACTGTGGAAAGATATTTAGTACTTACTTTTATGTAGAGGGTAAGGACAGTACTGGTAGCGCCATCGATTGACAGTTGAGGAAGTTAGACAGAAAATTGCAATTTCTGATAGAATATGGTTTAGCACTTTATTAGTGTAAATGAAACATTGTTTAATGGTTACAATTATATAAACAGAGAAGATAGACATGTCATATAATTTTTTACTTCACCTTATAATAATGTAACTCGTGTGACATTATCGACTCGGATTAGAATAAGACAGCAGTGCTACTGATACAAAAAAATTGTAACAGTCACGAGCAAAAATTAACAATAAATAGTACAGATTTGAGTAAGCAATAATGACGTTGAAAATTTTAGAACAGTGTATATAGGATCATGAAATTAGTGTTACTTTATAATATCTATCTTAATACAAACTATGTACTTGTATAACAGTGAGCTTTTTCAGATCAAAAATAAATTTTAGGAAACGTAAAATATAGCAAGGAATTATAGGTGAAGAATTAAAAGCACTGAAGGAGTAAATACAACGAATACATGTACTTGTAGGAGGATTAAATAGTATCTCGCATTTTATTTTCAATATTAAGTATTTATTACATACAAGCATTTATACAATACGAAGTATTTTTAGACATGATTGATGATATTTAGCATTCTCAGTATTTTTATGTTTAGAAAAATTCTTTCGTATGTATTGAGATTATTATTATTATCATTGTTATTATTATTATAGTTATTATTATTACATGTCCTTATAGAGTAGTTTTAGTTAGACCGAATAGAATAGTTTGAATAAATAAACTCCATATATAGTCATTGCATACTTCTGTCGCGAGAAAACAACGCCTCTTTTTATTCGTTAAAAATAAATCCTCATGAATGTGAGTCGTAATTACGTAAAAGAAATTTGACAGTTCCTCTTCGCGGTATCGTAAGCTACGCGCTCAAAGAAGCTTAGGCAATTAAAAATGTCTTAGGATCGTATGCTTCTGTACAGCAGTGTGCTTATAATGTCCGATAAAAATACATGATCGTTCGTCGTCGAAATCGTTCGGAATCGTTTTCGATACAAAACAGGAGGAGAAACTTAAAAAACTCTTGCGGCATATAATACGTATACGTGTGCTCGAAGACCTTAGATTAAGAAGAATTTCGCGGATAAAAGACTGGACAACAAGCGTGCAGCGTAACAATTCTTTTCCTTCGAATAAAAATATGTCGCAGAAGATAGTCGGGGGAACTGGCGATATCCCGTGTAGCACAAAACGCAACGCAAAGTAAATAAAAAAAAAAAAGAAACGAACAAGCGTAAAATATTCTATCGTTTCAGACACGTCGATGATACTCCTCTCTCGCGTTTATGCTTCTTGAAGACTTACGGGATAATCGAATCACTATATTATCTTTCGTATGAACGACCTTACGGGCCGGATGTGTTATGCACCTGCACTTGTGCAAGCGTTCTGAACACAAAGCATGCTAACGATATCGATTTTACAATAGTATGCCACAACAGTAACAAATAACTCGTGTCTTAGACACCCAATTACAATGTTGTTTACTCGATAACATCAGGCTTTAGAATAATCGTTTTCTAATCTGTATACTAGTATGATAACACTATAATGAACAGCCACCACTGGGGACAACGCAACATGACCACATCTAATTTTTTACTCGTTTGATTTATCGATGAAATATGCTTCTGGCGAGGCTGAGCTCTTCACTAGATTTTGCATCGTATCGCGCTATTTTGCAATCGAAACGTGTCAATCGCAATTTCATACATTTCAACTATCACGGCTAGCAAAAGATCATTTAACAAATAAAATAACGGGATAGCTATCGTTCTCTTATTCCGTAAATGTATGCAGTGGCTATTTCACAAAGCAAATCACCGTCTTTGTCGTCTTCGTCATCACAGCTAGAAAATTTATGTTAGATTCGCGAAAATATATCGGTAATGAAATCTAGTGGATACCTAGAGTACCAATATTAGGTGAGTTTTCTAAAAAAAAAATAAAAGAAAGAAACAAAAGGAAAAAGAGAATATTACAAAAAAAAAAAAAAAAACAAGAAAAAACAGTAAAATTGCTTGACTAGTGAGCGCACGCCCCAAAATGTAATATGGAAGAAATGTGTTTCTTTTTTTTCTCGTTTTTACATCATATCTGCGAACGATCTTACTAGATATGATTATACATATATTCATTTTCTATACTCGAATTCTATAAGGTAATATTATACTATCTCTTATGTAAGAACAATCATTGGAGCTTACCTCCTACGTCATTTTGGCAGATACATGTAGTTCTGTAAGAAATTTCAACCAATGCATAATCTTGTGCTATGTTTATGCCAAGCCGTTTTGCACACTCGTTCACGACGCGTTACACAAAAATGCGAATATATCGATTTTTCCTCTTTTTGTGTCCGATTCGACATAATTCAATTTTCGACCATAAATTCACAGTACAGTAAAAACGAAAATAAAACAGTGTAAAATCAATCGAACGAAATTGGATACAATAAAATATATATATAATCCGCGTACACTTCCAAATCAATATTTTAGGTCTAAATTCTCTTCGAAGGTCCTCTAAAAAGTTTCGATTTGTCTAATAGCAAACTATAACAGAGTGCCTATTTGCTGTTTCGTAATATTATTAATTAACATTATATATTATTTTACATCTCTCGTGACAACGTTCAAGGAAAAGTCTCTTTTTCGTGTTCATTTTTTGTCTGTTTGTTTGTTTGTCTGACGTAGTGCCCCCATTCTCTACTTAAATCTCCATTTTTTTCTTTTTTTCTCTACACATCGATATAGCGCTTATTTACATTATTTCATCAATGACGTCATTTCGAACAGATATATATACCTATTGCTCGTTGCAATGCAACAACGGTATTCTCAACCTCCGATCGTTCTTCTTCCTTTCACCAGAATTGTTTAACACAAGGATTATGATAAAAGATCTGCAGATGAAGAACACTGGTGTTACATTTTGTACATATTGCATATTACGGTGCTGTTGATGCGGCGGACTCTCGTTATGCTGCGCCTTGAGTAACTTTTGTATGTGGACTTTTGTCAATTGGAGACAATATTATACGCGTCGAATGCACCGTGCGTTGAGTATTCTACGCGCCAGATATTCTATGCGCTGAGTACTCTATGCGGGAATATTCCACGCATTGAGTACTCCACGCGTCGAATATTCGACGCACCGAGTACTCCACGCGTCGAATATTCTATGCGCTGAGTATTCCACGCGTCGAATATCCCACGCGCCCAATACTCCACGCGCTGAGTACTCCACGCATCGAATTCTCTACGCGTCGAATACTCCACGCGTCGAATACCCTACGCGTAGAATTCTCCACGCGTCGAATATCCCACGCGCCCAATACTCCACGCGCTGAGTACTCCACGCATCGAATTCTCCACGCGTCGAATACTCCACGCGTCGAATACTCTACGCATCGAATACTCTACGCATAGAATTCTCCACACGCTGAGTACTCCACGCATCGAATTCTCCACGCGTCGAATACTCCACGCGTCGAATATTCCACGCGTCGAATACTCTACGCGTAGAATTCTCCACGCACCGAATATCCCATGCGCCGAATACTCCACGCGCCGAGTACTCCACGCATCGAATTCTCCACGCGTCGAATACTCCACGCGTCGAATACTCTACGCATCGAATACTCTACGCATAGAATTCTCCACACGCTGAGTACTCCACGCATCGAATTCTCCACGCGTCGAATATCTCACGCGCCGAGTACTTTTCGCATCGAATTCTCTACGCATTGAATACTCCACGCGTTGAATTCCCCACGCGTCGAATACTCTATGCGTCGAATTCTCCACGCATCGAATACTCTATGCGTGGAATACTCCACGCGCCGAATACTCCGCGCGTCGATAATTCCCACCTAGTACTATAACCCCGCTCCATATAAAAACTCCGACGTTCCAGTATAACGAAAGTCTGCCGCCCAACGTGAGTATTGATTAACAAGTACACGTACCTGGTACTTGACTATTATCTTGTGGCTTGTTGTTGATAAACGTATCCTGGAACGGATTTACATTGGCATTAGCAGCGGTAGGCATATATGTGTTGGCCATTGGAGTGAAAGGTATAGCTGCTGGATTTAGGTTCGAGTTGAGGGTGTCTTCGTTGGCCATATTTGATGTCAGTTGGAGTATTGGGCCACTACTGCTATTACTGAGAGAGTCGAATTCCGTTAGGTCTAACAGGTTGTTGGTCACGTTGTTTTGTTTGCTACAAAATCAGCGAAAGGAAACATACAGACACTAAAAAACATAATAGCCGAATTACGCTAAACTACTTGCCTCGTGTTCGCATTTTCTAACGCGTCATTACAATTAGCTAAGTCGATCAAGCCGATGGTAAATTATGTACACGCGTTGTCTAATTATTTTGATCGTTTTATTCGGAATCTAATATGAGATCTAAGGTGTCTAAATTGTCCATAACGAGGAAAAGAAATAAACTATGTACCTTATTTTTTTCGAGATATGAGTTATAAAAAAGAAAAATCTTTGGAAAGAAAAATGTTACAAAGATTAATCGGATTATTCCTATTTCTGCATCAATGCTAGATTGCTGTCTAATATTCTGAAAGGCAGCTACTTTGATACTGTAAAGCAGCTATAAAAAGCACTCGTATACGCTTGGTGAACTTATAGAAAATTCTATAGCATAACGGAAACTGCATATACAGGGTGACATTTAACTTTTATTTTATCATGAAAGTAGCAAATTTTGTCACCCCATATATAAAACAGAATTGAGACGCAACAAAATTTCCTCTCTCGATAAAAATTATAGTAGGTGTAATGAATAATGTATGTACAGCAGCGAACATAGGCTTCCCTAGGAAATGGCCGTGTAGGGAAAGGAAGCTCTTTTGGAATAGCGTGGATTCACAATTGTGAGATTTGGAGATTCGAGAATTTAAAAATTGGAGAAGTTTTCAGTTTTATTTAATAAAGGTTCCTCCCCCTTAACTTGTGCAAGGGAAACCTACGTTGCATCCAGTTGTACAAAGATACTACCATACAGCAGGTTCGTAAATCTGACTGCAACGACTAATTCGTATTCGCCTGATTTCGCTATCTGGATTTCTCTTATTTGATAGCCAAGAATAATACCGTGTTCAGATATTCATGCCTCGTTTCGATATTCGTTTCCTATAGGAATCGTGGAATGGATCGTGTAAAACGACAACACACATTAAAGAATAACGTCGAAAAATATGTGTGAAGGTCGATAAGTACATAGCAAAAGTAGACAGTAAGTTGACACGTACTGCTGGATGATACACAACACAAACAATAAAGAACGTGTACAAAGTAGAGCAAAGAAAAGTCACAAGCCACACCATATCGATACAACAGAATTAATTGACAACATGCATTTGGTGAGAATAAAATCGATAAGAAAACTTGTTAGTAGTAACACTAATTATATACTTAAGGCATGGATGATCAGCTTGAAATGGTAACTAATTGGAGGATAAAGATAAAGTAATAGCTCATCAAAGATGACTTTGCCGTTTCATCGCAGAAAACGGAAAAAAAGATAGAAAAATGACGAAGTAATAATTGAGCTCGTGTATCTTTGATGAGCTTGTGTGATAAAATTACAACGAAAACTTTTTTAGATGAGTCATTCAATTTATGCTATTTATCTTTCTTTACATTATGTACACTGAATTTATTATTCATTAGTTGGTTTTTAACGCTATAGCTCTGTTAATCGTTTAACATTTCCATGCTTCGTATAACATTACACGTTTTATGCCATTAACATATTCACTAAAAAGAATCGACGTACAATAATAAGTTAAATTTCTTAATCTTTTTTTTTCTTTTCTTTCGGATTTCTTTTAAACGTCTACCTAAAAATATTATATTTTTAACTAGTACAGGATTAAATACAAATTATAAAATATATATGTATAAGTATATATAAGTATAATTAGACAATACAATATACATTCTTTCGTACCTCTCGTATTACCGATGATATATCTATATGCATATATCATAATATTTCATGTAATTAGTTTGTTAGTTGTTGGTATAATCGTGCGATTAGGTGAATTCTTTAGTAGCGATAAATTACCGTCAAATTCATCTTCGTGTCTGTCAACCATTGCTCTGACTACTTTTGCAATGTACAATACACGGTTAAATCATTTGCGTTATAATAATATTTATATAAAGCACTATCGAGTTCAATGAAATCTCATAAGCAGTTCCCTCTGATAAAAATCTCAAGAAAGCATAAGTGACTATGTATAGCGTGTACGAATAGCGTACAATTCATTCTTTTCACTTTTCGTTAGCATACCACAAAAAACATCTCAAACAACAAAATTCATTATGTACACATTAACGGTAATACGTTCTCGTTATATTACGTGCTTTCCATTGGCGTAACCAGCATTTCTATTTAGGGTTTATCAAAATTTCAAAATCAGACATTGAGGAACTCAAAATTTTGAAATTTGGAAAGTTCGAAATTTAGAAACTGAAAATTTGGAAATTTTTATACCTTGCGGACCCCTCTCCTAGTTACGCCACTGGTGCTTTCGTATTTTAGAATAAACGTACAAGATTATAGTTCTGCATCTCGCTATTCTTTAATTGCGAATGCTTCAGTTTAGCAATTAAGCACGTTACTATACTTAATCACTTTTTCTTTTTTTCTCTTTTTAATTCTGGCTATAAAATGATTACGCTTACTGTGTGTATATTTAACGTGGCGTATACCCCAATCTCGTTATAACTCATGTTTTGGAAAACAATGCTCGCACTCTAGCCATTACACTCAATGTTTTGTTCGAAAAAAAGACGAAATTACGATGCAAAATAATTCTATTAAAATCGTAGTTGACAATGTAGCGTAAAGTGTAGATAAAAAGCAACTATTATAGACAATCATTTGATAACAGACAAATCACTACAAAATTTCACAGGCAGTTATTTATACTTCACATTGCATGTGCGTTCTTTGTCAATTCACTGTGAATCTATAAATAACTTTCGTTATACAAATGACTAGAGCATTACCCTGAATAATTCGAAATACAGAGTATATACGTATACGAATATATTCGTTTCTTAAGCATCTTCATTTTTTTTTTTTACATTATTTTGTCAACACATATATTTCTGACATTACAAACATCGTGTGGTGCATGTTTTGATTGGAATTTAATTTCTCCTGTTCTTTTTTTTGCATTTTGATTTCTATCGTTTTATGAGCTGCATCACACATTTTTTTACTTTGTTTTATGCGACGAATATGTTCATACATATTTGCGTGAATAACACTAAAAATCAGTCAATTTTTCTTTTTTCATTTTTCGTAGATAATGGCTAGTGTTGTGCAATTATTTATATTATATTAATTACATTATTAGCCGTAACTCGTTTCCAAAATTAATCATAATTGCACGCTAATAAATATAGTTCCTAGCATCGAATGTATATTTATACAATTATATTTACGTATCGTATTCACACAAAACTCTAGATAAAATATCGATTTCGTAGAAATAACGTTTCTAAAATGCTCGATAATAGGAATTACGCGACCGGCGAATCAGAAGAACGGCTTTTTCGTATCTGGAAAAATATCTCCTTACTCTAATCGTGAAAAAAGCGCTCCGAGAAGGAAAAAATGATTACTTCCAAAGATTTATGAAAAGTTCCTACGGTATGGGAGTATACATCGTGTCGAGGAGTATCAGCGGATAAATATAAGCCTTGCACGGGCATTCATTCATATAATATTATTGTCGAATGATTTAAAAAAACAAATGAACTTACAATTCTTTGAGATGCTCTTCGATGTGTAAATCTTTCAGTGTTTCATTTTACTTTTATCGATGAGAAATCCAGTTATATCTTGGACTTTTATTTTTTTGTATGACGGTTGGTAGATGTAAATATGTAACTCTTATGTTAATGTAAATGTTTCGTCACAAATCTGTAACTTTTAATTGATATACTTACACGGTGGCATTGTCCAGTGTAATCGATTGACTGTTGATACCGTTTCCGTGATTCGTATGATGACCGTTCAGTTCTCCTTCCACATTACCCTGATTATTATCCAATACAATTTTATTTTCATTAATGCCGTTACTATGCGTGCCATTATGCACAATGTCCGTAGTTGTATTGTTTTCCGTATGATGAGCCCGTTGTTCTCCGCTAATAAATTGCTGGGTCGCTTCAGATATCAGACTGGCTGTCATAACATCTTCGACTTTGCTACCTGGCGCTGATTTATTCTCATCGTTAGGACTATCTTCTTTCAATTTATCACCGTCACCACCTTCTCCCTGCGCAACATGGACGTCATATATTTACTTTTTACTTTCATCTTTAATCATGGTAGTCATGAAAGCATCAAACGTAATTAATCTCACACATATTTAAAGCTACCATAATTAACGATGTAAGTAAAAATTATATTTACAATCTTTATATCTTACTAATTACAACTGAACCATTACCCACATTTACGACAAAACCAACACTGGGTCAAAAACAAGATGCACTGTTTAAAATAGTACCTTGGTAGGTGTGTTGCTCTGATTCTTCCCCCGAGTTCGAAGCATAATTGCTTCAACGCGTTTGCGTCTAGCGATTCGTTCTTCTTCTTCTCTTTTGAGCCGTTCCGCCATTTCGATCCGTTGTCTGCAACAAGAACATTAAACGTCCATCGTTAAGCGATTCAACGCATCATTGATCCGGACAAATTATCAGATCTCGAAGAAATCATCTAACCTTTCTTCCTCTTCCCTCGCTTTTCGCTCAGCCTCTTCTTTCTCTTGTTTCTGACGAGCCTCTTCTTCTCTTCTTCTCCTATCTTCTTCCTCGCGACGTTTTGCTTCCTCGATCGCCAATCTCAGTCTCTGTTCCTCAGCTTCTCGAGCCTCATTGGCCAAACGAAGCGTTTCTTCTTCTAAACGTTGCTGTTCTTCTTCCTCGGCACGCAATCTCTCGGCTTCCAAACGCGCTTCTTCTTCCTGTTCAAAAAAATTCTTCCATGAATCCTTTCTTCGTTAACACAGTTTACGAAACAGTTACACGAATTACCTGTCGTTGGCGTTCGAGTTCCGCTTCCCGTTCAGCCTGCTCTCTGGCCAATCTTCTGCGTTCCGCTATGGCTGCCTTAGCTTCCTCCTCGGTAGTAATTCGGATCTTTGCGATCATTGAGGCTACAAAACGTCCATAGTCAGCCTATAATTCATACTCCATAATTCTATGCTCAACTTACCTGACATGTCGACCTGTTCTTCCGTGTTGCTTTCTGATTTCGCTTCCGTTTCTTTCTTCTCGTTCTTCGTGTCCTCTTTCTTGATGGCTTTAGGTGTCTCGTGAGCCTCCTGATTCAAGTTAGTCTCGTCCTTTGCTTGCTTAGACACTGGCTGCTCGACAATCACTTGCTTTTTCACGTCGTCGTTACCCTGTTCGGCTGCACTTATTTCCTGCTGCAAAACAAAAATTCATGTATGAACTGGTAGTTTAATATGTTATGAAAATGGTGTTGCTGTGGGGTGGATGAGAATGTGGTACTTTGGGATGTGCTGAATTTGGACTATTGAGACTTTGAGGTTCATTGAGATTTCAGAACTCTGGGTCCTTAAAATCTGAGGACTTTAAGGTCTTGATCTCTTTGGGATTATAGGAGATTATAACTTTTGGGACTCAGACTCTTGTAGGTTCTTTAGAAGTGACTCAGCAACTGTACCACGTTTCGGTATTTGTTACCTGTGTCTTTTCGGTGCCCTGATCCTTCTTCTCCTCATGCTTGTCCTCCAATTTCGCATCCTCTTTCCCCTCGTTCTTTATAATCTCCCCAGTACATTCTCGAATGAGAGGTGCATTCTCAGCGCCCGGGCTCTGCAACGGAGTGGCCTTTGGCGTTATCCGCGGTGACGCCTTCGCATTCTTCACCAACTTCTCCGTCGGTTTCTTCACTTCGGTCGCTTTCGGGGTAGAAGATTTCTTTGGAGTGCTGTGGACCTTTGGCAGTGGCGGCTTCGAATCCTTCGTCAGCTTCGTATCGCTCACCAGATCTGCGCCAATAATTCACGATCAACACCAATAACCAAACTAATCCTACACACGCGAGTATTTAAATGTGCAATCTCGAAACATAATAATAAAAAAAAATAAACGGGAACGGTAAAAATGTAACGTAAAAAAAATACAACAAAAATGAAACCAATCAAAAGTGAAATAATGGAAAGATTCAATCAGACGTGAGATCTAAACGAAAGTCCTCTTTCAAGGAAGAAAGGGATGACTGTCTCTCTCTCTCGCTCTCGTTCTCTCTCAACATACAAATGGTGGATATCGTGTAGACGATTAATAAGAAGAGTATTGATGCTCACTGTGTCGTTCTGTGATCGAAACACCGGTACCGGCAATAGAAGCAGGTCGCGGTCGACGCGGGGCAGATGTACGAGGACGCAGATTGACGTTACTGCTGCCCACACTGCTGGCGCTTTGCTGACTCATGGAGCTGTGAGGCCGAGATGGGCTGTTCGGTGTCACCTCCCCGCTGCGGATGCCTACGCGTACCCACCCAAGGTGAACATCTCTTCATTTCCGTGTTTCGTGCATTTTTGTTCGCGCGTTTAACACCGAACAAAATTATACAGCGAGGGTCACGAATTATACACCTTCCTTTTTTACTTTGTCGACTCGTGCAATTCACTCTGATCCTCCAGATCCTCCTTTTTCAAGATTTTTAAATTTCTAAATTCTTGTATTTTCAAAGTGTAAATGTGGACATTTCAGAATTCTAACTTATGCAAACGCAAACTGCTCTGCTTTTGAAAAATGAAACTTTGTAAAGACTTAAATATTCTAGGCTGTCTTGAAGATGGGAAACTTGAGTCTCTCAAAATTTGAGAGGAGTTAAACCCCTACTTTAAACACTTCTGATGAATCTACCCCTTAAATTTCGATCTTAATTAATAAAGAATAGTTATGTTTTTAATGTGACAAGTCAACAAAGTGTAATTGAAATAGAAAATAGACGATTTGCGACCCTTGCTCGTAAGTTTGTCGTGCAACACGCACTGCACCTTGGCGATGTCGCGACAATTTCAACGCGACATTTCATCCGTCGAATTATCGCGTCAGATCGCGTTGGTGCACAGGTTAGAGAATAAACGTTGACAAACTCTTCGATGGTACTTTCCGTTTTTTTCTCTCTTTCTCTCTCTCTCTCTCGCTCTCTCTTTCGCTCTCTGTTTTTGACTCATTTGCTTTCGTTAGGGCGTAGATTAAAACAAAAGTAGCGAAATTAAAATAGAAAAGCACCGCCACCAAAAATAGAAAAAAAAATATACATGATCGTGTCGGTCGTGTCGTGAAATGTATTTATGTACATCGATAATTGAGAGAAAGAAACAGGCTAACGAAAATCAACGTTAAATTAACTAAAAGGAATCTTGTTCATAAATACAGCAAGAAAGTAAAGAATCAAAAAACGAAAGTGGAGCGATTATAAATGTATTGCACACTAAATACGATTGCGGTTCGTTTTGTACATTCTCAGAAATAATTTCGTGCACAATACGTGTTTGTGTGTATACGTGATAAAATACATTTATATATATATAATATTTATAAGTATAAAAAATTATGTGGCTTACCGAGAACGTTAGAGCGTACCTTCACCCCTGGTACCGAAAAGCCGGTGAGAACTGAGATCGTTTTCTTTAGTAGGAGCTTTTTGTTAATCAATTATCATTATTCAACAAGAAAGAGAACAATTGTTAAAGAAATAACGTTAAGAAATCAGTTGTTAGTCTCTGTACAAACATGGAAGCACTTAAGCGTTATTAAAAACTCGATAAATTTTACGGACAATAAACGAACACGTCGTCGAAGACAGTAGTTACTTTCTGTCTTATTGATTCACAATGGCTCCTCTACTCTCCATTCACACGCATGCACATGTGCACCCAACTCAAGTTACATAGAACGAGTGCGGTATTGATTATACTGTAAGAAGTTTAGATTATACCGAAGATTAGTATAAAGCGAACAAGATTGCGACACTGTCGCATAAGACACGGATGTTTCTCTGTCGATAACAGGACTGTAATAACTTCATCATCGAAGAACCTGTTTGCAACCTTTTCGAATCAAGAGTGTAATTTAATCGTTTGAGCGTCGTTATTAGTGAACTTGTTCTTTGTTTCAATTTGAAAATTAAATGATTGTTGAAGAGATGATTCTTGAAGAGCTTGTGTGCACTGGGGTTTGGGGACACTGATGGATTTTTTAGATTTAACTTTGCGAGATAGGAATTCTGCAAGTTTAGATGTTTAGGACTTCTGGGGTTTAGAGATAGTTGAACTTTGGACGAATCTTTGGATCCCAGAGATTTGACTTATAAGACTTCTGAGTTGTGGAGCTTCAAAATGGTTGAACTGCAGTATGTAGTGATTAGGAGATTTTGAACTTTGAAACTGCAGCACTTGCAGGTTTCAGGATATTTTAAGGACCTCGAAACGCATTTACGGTCAGATCTAAACAAGCTTCAGAAACTAGGGACAAGCCTACTGCACGCACAAAGAAATCGCAGTACTCACCCCAGTGTCCCAAGCTCTTCCAACATATTTACCACATCGGCTCAAACGATCAATGTAAGTTCACCGAGTTGAGTGCACAAGAACGATCTTACCTTGCTGCTGGTGGTTCTGATGTTCGCGGGCCTTGCGACGAAGTCTCTCGGCCCTGGTTGGTCTCGGAACCGGAACCGCGCCCGGCAATGTGCCCATGCTACGAGAGTTATCTGAGCGTTTCAGGCTCTTGCCCCCGGACGCAGCTAAATGTGACATGCTGCGACTCATGCTAGAAGCGCTCAGAGGCTGGCTTTGCTGTTCCGTCAGTGTGCTAAGTTCTGTCGGACGTTTCCGAGGCTGCGCCAGCTGGTCCAGCCTGGACATGGAGTAAGTCCTACCTGGCGAACGCGTGAAGGCCTTTGCGCTCGAGCTGCGCCCTGAAGACGGTGGTCCATCGCGTGGCGACGGTATCGTTGGCATCAGATCGGTGCGTCTCCTGTTCACTCGCAGATAAACCGAGCCAGGTGTTCCCGGCGTTCCGTCGCTCTCTTCACCTGCAACGAGGTAGCCCTTAAGAAGCGAAGCGGAAAGCGACCACCAACTAAATCGCCGCACTATACAGAACACTAGGCGCACCTCCCGGTACGAATATTCATCGACAAACACAACAAAATTCGAGCGTATTCCCTTAGGATCTACTCTCTTACAACTTCGTCTTCTACATGCTGCAGTGCGTACAAGCGAAAGATCATTCGAGGAACGTCGTGGGTCTGCGACATGCGGATCTACTTATACTGCGATCACGCTGTTCAACCTTTCGGACCTTTATGGAACTTTTATACATTTTCGAGATTTCATTTTGAAGTGCAAAGTTTTTATGTCGACAACTTGAAGATGTAGACACTTGAGAACATATTTAAAAATTGTGAAACTTGGAACACTTCTTCTGGTAATCTGTACAACGAAAATTTGTATAACCCGTGCAAAAATGACAAAGATTCAGGAATTTCAAAACATGAATGACTTGCAAAGTCTCCATTCCAATGTACCATAAAAATTGTGTCTATCATTGAGTCTATATACAAGAAACCATAACTTCCGTAATTTGTCAAACATGGATAAAAATTCAGTGTCGTGTTCGGTGTGTACGCGGTTCTAATAACGTTACAAATCCAAATAGTAGTTGAACAGTGTAATCGGGGAAACGCACGAAAGTGGGAACGTGCACGAGCTACAACGACTGCGAAAGCGGTGTAAAACGAAACGACGCATGCAAACGACGCTCGTCGAAGCGATCAAAATCCTATGCATGCATATAACGGATACGGCAAAGTGTTCCTGTTCAATATCCACGATTTGCGCGAAAAAAAGATCAACGAAAGAGACACTGCGAAAAATGAAGCGGTACAAAGAATTCCACAAACTCGAAATCGTTACTACGAGTTTCGGTTGACAAAATGTTCATGGTGCGGATTAAAATCGAAACTCAATCGTGAATGCAAGATGTAGCGAGTTCATGAATGATTATGAGTGTGATGCTTGTGCTCTGCAAGTTATTGTCAAGTATATTTAATTATTGAGGCACCTCAACTTCTTCGTATCCTACTTGGAAAATACTACTAGTAGAACTACGATACTAGTTTGTAACTATATGGTGATAATTTCAAGGAGAAGTGGAAAAGTGTTAGTACCGTAAACAAATTTCAACAGCTTCAGATGCAGTCATAACTAATGGTACGTCGTGCAACACCGACATGTGATGAACGTAAGAGTATTTCATTTTATTACTGTTTTAACCGTTTCGATGTTAAGAAATCAGTCTATGCAAGTTCATAGCATGCATGCAATAAATTGGTGGTTTCCTATGGTCTCTGTTGTGTTTTAGCAATTTCTATTCTCGTTATTTGTTGAACTCTGATAAAAGATTGGTTCTCACTCGATATCGTGTGGTTGACACATGCAACTTCTTCTCGAGAACGTTTCTAGCAATGATTCTAGTGTCATATTTATTGTTTTAAATGCATGTACATATCTTACATGTACATCAATTCTTTGAAACAGTCAGTGTAAAGACACGTGAAGATGTAATATTAAATTCGTTCTTCAAGAATGAAATATTTACTTCTTCGACTTAAGATATTCATAGAGCTAACTTTTCTTAATATCCTTTGACATTAAACGTTAAAAATCAATTCATGTACAGATACGTTTTGTCAAAAAGAAATAAACGCAAATGTTTACGAGACATAATATTTAAAATTATGAAATCTAAAGACGGTGTTCCACGAGTACCCGCAAGAGTACAGATACGATTTAAGATGAAAGCTGATGGAGTGACATGCTTGCAATGTATCCCGATGTGCTAATGAACAAGAGACAGAAGGATCTTGTATCGACAGCTCATTCTGGAACAGCAGAACAATCTCCCCGTTGCGGACAAATTCCAATTGTTCTTTGTTTCTTTTTTTTCCATTTTGTATCGCCGTTTTGGACTTCAGGACTCACCACTGGCAGCCCGCTGAATCATCGGACGCCTAGTGTCGCTATCAGACTTATCATCGATGGCAAAGATGTCAGTTGTAGGAGGCAGAGAGAGGCTGGCTCTCTTATGTTTGGCAGGGGTTAAGGGAGGATCAGGGCTAGAATTCCAATTGAACACCTCGTACATGGACGAGGACATTCGCATATCTGCAAACAAACCATTGAACGCTGCAACATTAGGCACTTTCCAATTGATTTATTCTTCGTTTTTTCTTTTGTTCTTTGGGGGAGTAGGGGATTCGAAAGGGGGAGAGGAATGTATATTATTAGCATGAGTTAGATATAGTGCGATTTACGGATGGAGGTCCGTGATTGGGTCTAGATCCACACAGAAAAGATTTTATAGAGATTGCAATCAGTTTTGAGAATAGAGATATGTGACGACTTCTTCATACACGCATAAGTACATTTTTTAATCATTTTTTATTATACACATATCTTCTCCTTCTTCTCAATTTTTCCATAAGAAACAACACAAATTTTAACAACTCTAAATTGCCAGTTACTACTATAGTTTAATAACCAGACAAGTTTTTGAATTTCTGTCTTCAGGAAAAGTGCATGAGAGGGTTGATGCAAATATATCCAGTTCTGTAGTTCATATGTTTATGAAAAATTACAGATATTAATAAATGTCAACAGATATCAATCATGCTATCAATACATGAATGAAGCAGACCCATTCACGGACCACCACGGGACCATTTAACGTCCGTACTCGAAGGGTTAAAATACATTTGGTTCGACTGAGCCACCACCAGTTAAGTACAGATAAAATAGCGGATGCAAAGGATCTTAATTACCAAAGGATATCTTTGGCTCAAAGTTACTCTATAGCGAAATTACATTTACTCAGGCATATTCTCTCGCTACGAATTCTCTATGGTACACAACGCAATATAAGTGCTCGCGCGATAACGCGTACAAAATTACAGAGAAATCGGCGAGCGAAGATGAGGTGCTTCTCGTGTGTCGATAAAATATCGTTCGATGGTGAATACGCGGTCAAAAATTAAAAACCGGTGGATTGGCTACGGAAAATGAAAACCTGAAAGAAAACGTGGGTAACAGAATATAGAATACGATCACGAGTCTAATCGATTCTGAATACTTCGATCGTTCATGCTTCGTGGCGTGATCGTGTAAAGTTTCGTGTGTTGGTGATCGATGTGTGGTGTTCAAATATTACTAACGAAATGTAAATAATGAAATACAACGTTGCTGACCGATCGAACTGCTCTCGAAATAGTGTTATGCAGTTTTGGATTAGTCTGACATAAAATATGGAGATCTAGTTCGTTGTACTACTTTAAATATTATTATAAAATCATTGTTACATTTCTTGAAACTATACTGTGTTGTTCATTGATTGACAAGAATAAAGATGTTCATTGATGACATCTACCATTAATTTTCATTATGAAAGTTTCGTTCATTTATTCAGTCGATTCAAACAAATAAAATATTGCAAGGTATAATCAGACTAGAACTAACATTAATAAATATGACATCAAGTAAAAATGGTTAAATCTAAAAGTGGAGACACAATTCAATGGTCAACAACGTGTCACAATGAGCAACCTGCGATTCCATTTACTCTTTTTCCTTTGATCGCGATCAATAAAAACTAAACTGAAAAACAGCGTCCAAGCAACGTACGAAAATATCGGTATCTCGTTCGCCATTTTGTGTAAATCTCTGTCTGGAACGTTGTGCATCCATGCGTTACCCACTGCAGCGCATCCATTGCGTAACTATAGCACTAAAAGCGCTGTGTGGAAAGAACGCAGTGAGAAAAATAAAGCGGCCCTCGTTGCGCGTTCCAATCATCTTCGGATGACAACGTGAAATAATAGTCTCACACCAACGACACGATTCGCTAATGATTTTTTACACGAGACCGTTTTTGCGGCGATTTGTGACCAATGGTGCAAATGACGGGCTATAATCCAGCGCGACTATAAAGTAGTTTGAAGGATAGGGAGAATGACCTTAACAACATATTAACACGTCAATGTGATTAGGGCCGCGTGAGAATTACTCGGAATGACCTTGAAGATACGTGCGAAGTCACGCAGGTATGTCAATATCATTGACACACGTTTTGTCAGCAAGAAAAAGTCATTGGGTGTTGAATTTCAAAACAACTTAACTGACTTCAAAACAATTAACAATTAATATAAATAACTAAGAAGAAGTACATGATATGTGTACTTCTCAAACAGAGAGTTATATTAATCACTTAACTTAAACAGAGAGTTTACTGATCACTTAACTCATCAAATGTAAAGTTATCATACAAATATAGTAAAGTTGTAAATGTAAAAAAATATAGTTTGAAGTCTTTGCACCATCACGACACTGATCGCCCTGCACTTACATTCGCGAGTAACCCGAAATCGACCGCATCGTTCCATAAATCTGTAACAGTCTCGACTAACCTTCGCCAGATTTCCGGTCGAGGCCACCGGCGGATGTGGCTCGTTTCTTGCTTCCGTCGAGCTCTCTTTCGGAGGACCTCCTGGTTAACGGCTGAGCAGCCGAGAACATCATAACGTTGGTGGTGGACGTTGCTTTGCGTGTTCCCCAGAAAGTGGAACCACCGGTATCAGCTGGCTCCAACATCCTCGGGGTAGAACTTCCGAACGCGAACACGATGTGCGACCTCTCGCTCCTCTTCTTCGCCTCTATGCGTGCCTCTCTCTCCTGGTTCTTGCGGAGGATGGCCTCCCGTCTTTCTCTTTCTGCCTCGCATATCAACCGTTTCCTTTCTTCCACTTGGTTTCGTCTGCAATGGAACAGGGAACTGTCAGGCAATCATGGCAAATTCTTCGCGGGGATATGGCGGTAGACATATAGGGACACAGTAAGATTACGAATATAAAGATAGAGGGATTCGAGGTTGGAGGTGGAGAATGTATGCATTTGGGGGTGTAGAGGAGTTTCGAGGTGTAGGGAGATCTAGAGATTCAGGATTTGTAACGCGTGGAGGTATGACGCGGGGAACCACGACGCGTGGAATTACGGTGCTCGGAATTACAGCGTATAGAAGTACGGCGCGTGGAATTACAGCGCGTAGAAGTACGGCGCATGGTATTACAGCGCGGGGAATTACGGTGCATGGAATTACGACGCGAGGAATTAATAACGCGTGGAATTACAACGCGTGGAATTACAGCGCGTAGAAGTACAGCGCATGGTATTACAGCGCGGGGAATTACGGCGCATGGAATTACGACGCAAGGAATTAATAACGCGTGGAATTACGACGCAAGGAATTAATAACGCGTGGAATTACAACGCGTGGAACTACGACGCGTGGAATTAATAGCGCGTGGAATTAATAACGTGTGGAATTACAACGCGTGGAACTACGACGCGTGGAATTAATAACGCGTGGAATTACAACGCGTGGAATTACGACGCGTGGAATTAATAACGCGTGGAATTACAACGCGTGGAATTATGATGCGTGGAACTATGACGCGTGGAATTAATAACGCGTGAAATTACAACGTGTAGATTTGGACATCTGATGATTTAGAAATATAAGAATTCAGAAGTTCAGAGATTTGGAGGTTTAGGAATTTGGACAATTAGAGACTCAGTGACTTAAGGACTTGGGGGTCTATGGGTTCCCAAGGATCTTGGGGTTCTAATATTGAGCTACATTCTGCATCATTTGTAAGCTGTAATAAGAATTAACGATCACATTACACGTGTTTATGAATATTCTACTGTGTTATCTCTTCCTAACTTTTTCTCTCTCCACTCGAACATATATGAACTGAAGTACCCAAACATCAGTGCCTTCTTAAGCCGATATTTTGCGAACGGTAAAAGCGATTCTGCAGAGGGCGAATTTTATGCAGGTGTCGCGGTAATTTCCCGGGCTTCTCTGCGGTGGCGAAACAGTTTAGCCCGGCATCATATTAACCAGGTCAACTTATAACCTCGTAGAGCAGGTAATCTCGTAAAGAGCGTTTAAACACATCAATGTTGTGTTCCGTGTCGTTTTAAATTCGCGTGTCAGAGCTCGAAAAAAAGACACGCTCTCAGAGGTGTACTGCACTTAAACCCTCGTTTGAATATGTAAAATGTAACCCCGTTTCAGAGGCAAAGGTTAATTCATCGATTTGATATTACTGTTATTACTGGTAATCATTTACTTTGCAAGGTAACTTCAATTACAGAATTTTTATGATGTATGAAGGCTATGAAAACTCTACCTAATTACGTTAAATGCAGTGTTCACCTTTACTTATAAATATTGTATAATGGATTTGAGGGTGAGAATTATTTTGAGGGTGATTTTTTATGCGGTGAAGATAGAATGCATTGCTGATGGCGTTTTTGATGGGTGTGAACTTATTCGTTATATATTTTTTTAATAAATTACAGCTCAATGATAATACTTTTATAAGCTGTTGAAGTCTCAAATTCAGCAAATATGAAACTTAAAATTTAATGACAAAATCAGAAGGCTTGTTTCTAATAAAAACTATGACTCCTATCTGAAAGTACTACATGTCCATATTACAAAGAGAAAGGATTAATTAAGCTCGTGTATAAAGAAGGCAATCACGAAAAGTAAAAAGTAAGACCGCGTTCTTAAAATTGTAAGAAACCTGTCATTAGACGATTAAGGGGCGAGAAAGCAAGACAGAGCGATTCGGGAATTGCTTATTCTCGCGTGCTGTACCGACGAAGCGTAAAAACTCGTGTCGTAATTTCCATTAGCGTAGAATAAAATGAAACCACGAACCTGTCGTTGTCACGCGATCTGAGCTCGTCGATGCGCCGTCGGCGTTCTTCTTCCCGTTGCTCCCGGAAGCGTTGCGCGGCCAAAGCCTGCTGTCTCAGCTCCTCCAATTTCCGTTGTCGTTCCTCGTTCTGTCTCTCACGGACGAGCCTCGCCCTGTCCACGTCTTTCGCTCCCGCCGACTCGCGTCCTGAGAACAACCGCGGACATCGATTAGCTTTTCCCGCTCCGCGAGCGCCATTTTCTTTATTGCTAAGCGTTAATCGTTCCCTCGGATATCCGGCGATTTCAAAAATCGAAATTCCGCAGTTACAGAATGTCTTTAAAATACGAAATACTTGATGTTATTTAAATAATGGGGAAACGAGGGAATAATTAGTCTCGACCGTTGAAAACCTTCGAATGATACCTTCGTTCTCGGATGGATGATCGCCGTCGAGGGAGTCCTCGTCGTAGGGACTTTGGCGGCGCTTCACATCTGTCGAGAAGAAAGCGAGAATATGTGCGTACGCACGTGAGATTCGGAATATATTACGAGCACAACTCGCATATGGACAGACACAATGCGAAGAACATGCAGCCAACATCGATGCATCTCGGAAGCGCAGGTACTCTACGGATGTGTGGATGTCCACTTTGGGTTTTAGTTGAGATCGAGCTGGGTATCTTTTAAGCACATCATTTGTTTTATGATACGAAACTTTGAAGATGTTTAGGAAGTTTAGGAACTTGACAATTTGAGGATTTCGATTTGGTCTACGAATAATTGTTTGAAGTTGAGTATGTTGTGTATGGCTGTTCAGATTTGAGTGTATGAATGGGTGAATGTTTAGACTTACACGACTGTTTAGAAACTTGGCAACCTGAGAATCTACAGGTACTTTCAAGTTTTCATATCTGAACCTATCCAAACTTCTCAAAACTCTGAATTTCCCAGACTTGTACTGAAATAAATCTTACTCGATTTCAACCAAAGTACCCACACATCCTTAGTATACATAAACTCACAAAAACAATCAGTCATGCGTCATGCAGTTATCGCGTAAAATTTTGAACAAAGGTCCAAGTTCTTAGATGAAAATTAATGAAACAGTTAAGATCGATTCGATCTAAGATAATTTTCATGAGTCAGGGTGTCGACGGTATTTTTTACGGTTGGGAAGAAACAGAAGGGAAATAAATTCTTCTCTGTTACATCCTGAAAAAGAAGGTCACCGCTTTTCCGCGATATCAACGCGTTTCAGTCGCTCGAAGGCTAATGCGATTATTAAAAATAGGACACACGGAAACGCTCGATTTATTGCTTTAAAGCCTGCATCACATAGAGCGGTGTTTCAAAAAGCTCGGGTACCGAGTGGAGCTCGATTTTTCTTCCCTCGCGAAAGCTTGATATATACGGTATAAGCGCGAAGATATTTTTCTGGGTTAAGTAGTCTGATTCCTCTTTTTGTTAATTTTCAAACGTGATCACAATCGATTCGTCGAGCAAACACACGCATAAGTAGAGCATGATTTCCAATTTCGACGGGAGATTACTATATTAATACGCACTCGTCACACGGCGAAATGCAATTCTGTGTAAATATCGCGACGAATTTGCCAAAGCACACCGTCACTTGTTTACCAAGCTAAATATTACCTGATGAATCGGGAGAGGCATCGTCACCTCCAATCTGGGCGAACCAATGCATCGTTTGCTCTGCGGAATATAAATTCGAAGGTTTGTTCCTACAGAATCTTTGCATTTAATTAGCCATCGGGCTGATGAATATATCCAATTTAAAGATATATTTTCCTTCAAAATGTATTATAATTAGTTCGTGGACTAGTTAGCGGAAAATTGAAACTGGACAATGTCAGTATACCGAATAATTACAGTTGCGTACTGTGGCGTTGAATTTTCCACCTGTTACTTTCGATAATTAATTATGCACGGGTTTAATTAGAGTCCAATGAATTTCAATTTGCAAAACAATTTTCAATATTTTTTGAGGTCAGAATTTTTATTAATACTGGACACTGATTGTCTAACTGCTAAATTAATAATTACAGTAATAAATTATGGTTTTTTCGGAACAGTTACGATTATTATATTAAATTACATGTCACACTGATTAAATGAAGAGAAACTATTACATCCAATAGAGTTTTCATGCGAACTAAAAAAGGGTGTCTCACAAGTAGTATAGTTACTAAAACACTTATTCTCGGTTTTTATGTAAATTGAAAAATACACAATAGATTGAAGTTGAAACCGTATGTACATCCTCTTGTAATATCGCCATGGAGCAAACGGTCGAAATTGGCAATATATCAAGGCAGCGAAATAAAGTTGAAAGCCGTGTCGTAAAAACGAGCCGTCGACGAGGTATCGTATTTTCGCGCTAACGACACGATCTGCAAACGGCTGCTGTTAATTGCGAGCCGCTCCGCTTATTTTCGACATCTGGTGACACTCGTCGAATTCGCTTTCAGCAAACAGGAGGAGCGTTTCATTCGACGGCGATGCTTCCGCCCGCTGATTGCGAATGTCGCGAGGGAAAAAGCACGACAGCATGGAATGTCGCGATCATCGTCCACGATAATTGATAATTGGAAAACGACCACGAATAGGCATTGGAACGCGATTGATGCCCGCTAACAATTCACGTACTCGCAAGTGGATGTTGGAGACCTATCAATAGTTTAAATCTATCCTGTATTGCGATACCATTTACCGAAAACAGCTTCACGAATGATTCATTTGCTGACTGAAATTTATTTGTGCTAATTCAAATATTTGACGATCGTTAATCTTTATCTGATCAGGACTCGTGTACTTAATCTAAGTGCAGGTCCATTTATTTCTGAAGATGACACAATAAATCTTGCAATCGTATATTTTTACGGTCGTTAATACTTGGGTAATTGTAATAAGCTCTGACGAGTTCATGTTTGTTATAATAATATGAGAGGTAAAGATTCTGCAACTCTGCGAAATATTGCATTCTGTTAATAATGAAGTGTTCTGTTATCGACGAATCGTAAACACTTGTTCCACTCGTAAACAAAATATGCTTCACTTTCATGTTGCAGTTTTTTTTCAAATAAATTTTTAATCCACCGTTATTTATTTGTGGATTACGCAAGCTGAACAATATTTTTATTTTTTTAAATTGGTACAGAGAGTTTAATTATAAAAACTCAAAGATAATCCTACGTTTGTTCCACCCCACAGAACTCCCGTTTTTTTTACTAAAATTAAAACAAAATTCCTCTCTTAATTAATCCTTGGACAATGGACTACCGAAACAGCGCCAATTTAAATTTCATTTTCGACCACTCTTTTAAATATCATTTTTTTCAGTGGATAAAAGGCTTTGTTTGAAAATTAAATTCAAAGTTACTTATGAAGTAACGTGTTAATTATGCATCGAATTAAATGCCATATCAATTTCCATGTAGAATTCCACACATGGACTGGAATTTCATCTGACTATCGATTATATGGACCCTTTATATATTTAGCTTAATTGCTGCTCACGTAATTTACTTTTGTTGCCTTGTCGATATTCAGGATATGTCAAATACATAGATCATGAAGCAATTTATTCTCAGATTTGCATGTCTCGAAGTTTTCTTATTTTTGTATGGTGGGTTACTTTGCTGAATTTTTCAATTTTTTAATTTTTAAACTTGAGGGATCATTGGACTGCAATTTTTAAATTGTCAAACTTGAAGGATCAGTGGACTGCAATTTTTAAATTCTCAAACTTGAAGAATTAGTGGACTGCAATTTTTAAATTCTCAAACTTGAAGGATCACTGGACTGCAATTTTTAAATTCTCAAACTTGAAGGATCAGTGGACTGCAATTTTTAAATTCTCAAACTTGGAGGATCACTGGACTGAAATTTCCACATTTTCAAACGTCGAATTTTCTACCCCTAAAATATTCAATTTACGTGATTTTCCGTAGCCCTAAATTTCGAAACCCAGCTTCCTGCACTCCGATAAGTTGCCGCGTTCGCATTCATGACCTCGTCGATCAGAAACGAAGAAGCATAAAGAACGAGAGTACTCGGAAGCCGGTGGTTTCCAGCGAACGAGGGGTCTGTAGCTGCCGATGTTGTTTCCGGCTGGTGACTGTAAATGTCAGGAACGAAGAAAAAGTGCGAGAGAGCGAAAGGGGAGCCGTGGACCGCCTGGTGGCAACCGTTGATGGTAATTGGACGTTTCATTAGCAATGCGGATGCGAAATCGAACGAGGGATGAAGAGAGACAGAGAAGAGAGAAACGTGTTCGAGAGAAAGGAAAACGTGTTGAAAGCGTTTGCGACGTTACGGATATAAAATTCAGTTGGGGTTGTCACTGCAAACGTTTGCAAATTAAGAAAAAAAGAAAACAGGGACTATTGAAAAACGTGGCCGAGCATTAAGCCGCGTAATTAATATTGACGCTCCAGTTTCTGGTCTAGTTGTCTTTTTTCGTAGCCTAATTTCGCGACCTCTCGAAAATGGTTACGAGAGGAAAAAAATTCCTTTTTCCGGGAGAAATATCTTTGGACGATGATTTTAAATTACAGCGGTCTGGGAGCCACAATGGGTCCCGCTTTCCGCGGAAACGTCGAGAGGCCCTCGGCGCTGGATGTACACACGTCGGTTCTGTTAATCTTCCGTCGCCTGGAAGTGAGCCGGAAAACAATGGAAATCCAGCATTTTCATCCGCTTCCGTTAAGCCGACGCCGGAATTGAAATTTTACCGTGAAGGAACCCAATTGTGGATCGAGAGATCATTTCCAACCATTTCTGAACCGGTCCCTTATCTCCGTAAGAACGTTACTCTGCACTCGGGAAAACTCCGCTGAAAGCTTTCAATCCGCTCGATGGATACAGACCGCAATGTTTGATTGCCAACTTATTAATCGATCCAACTAATCTTTACGAAAACGAAAACTTTTGATGAGATTCGAACCTGTTCCGTTTAATCTCCCGTTAGATACTTTCAGACCTTGTAACTTTTCATGCAATCAAAATATGATTTTAAGAATACAAAGTGATATCGCTAGGTATCATGCTTCTAATCTGTTCGAAACCACAATGTACATCATCAAAACAAACTATTAATAGTCTGCGGACATTTACGTATACATCAAAGTTCGCAATATACACATCGTGTACAGTTGCGGTATACAAATTACGCGACTGTTTATCTTGCGTTTCAATGTGAACGCATGAACATCCCACGTATTTTGAAAGAAAGACGTGCCATGAATGTTATTCGAGCTACTGAATAATAAAATTCGCCACTACTGAATAATTAAGTAGTACAAGTCAATAGTCGAGCCCCAAAATAGCGACAAAAATCGTGAAAACCAATTATTTCGAGCATGAAAGGCAAACATATTTTTGGAGAAAAGATACTGACGCAAGATACAGCGTATCTGTGTCGGATTTTTATGTATTCAATATCGAAGCGCGAAAACCAATTGCAGATAGCGTGAATAATGAACAGCAACGGATAGAAGGTGTGTTCTGTAACCGAGCGACAGAAAGACACGCTCTTCTTTCACGGAAAAGAAACGACAAAGAGCGCTCAGCCGATTGAACGTTCGTATAGCGAGGCATTGTTGTTGCCAATAGAAATACGCCTTGCTGGATCGCTGCTTTACAATGCGACGCAACCGTTCCATGAAACAACGTAGTCTCGGTGTATCTTGGATCTTCAGAAGCTGGAACATCCATGCGTGGATATAAAAGCTTTTTTCAGCTTTTCTCTAGCTGCGCATACAACTACAACAATATCTCTCCTTTGGGGAAATGCAAATTGAGCAAAAAACTGGGTCTTCTAAATTAGACAAATTCGGGGTGGACAAAAGATTTGGGTCATAATTTTGGGTTGGTGGTGTTGGGTGATATATTGACTACTGATGGGTTCAAGGGTTAGATTTCTACGCGTTGGGTATCTACGCGTTAGATTTCTACGCATGGAATTTGTGGAATTTTAGATTTCTACGCGTAAAATTTTCAGAGCGTTAGATTCTTTTGCGTGGAATTCTTGGCGCGCTAGATTTCTACGCGTTGGATATCTACGCGTGGGATAGCTACGCGCTGGATAGCTACGCGTCGAATATCTACGCGTGGAATTACTACGCGTTGGATATCTACGCGTGGGATATCTGCGCGTGAGATATCTACGCGTGGAATTACTACGCGTGGGATATCGACGCGTGGAATTACTACGCGTGGGATATCGACGCGTTGGATATCTACGCGTGGGATATCTGCGCGTGAGATATCTACGCGTGGGATAGCTACGCGTGGAATATCTACGCGTGGAATTACTACGCATGGGATATCGACGCGTTGGATATCTACGCGTGGGATATCGACGCGTTGGATATCTATGCATTAGATTTCTACGCGTAAAATTTCCAGCATGGTAGATTTCTTTGCGTGGAACTTTCAACGCGTTGGGTATCTACGCGTTGGATATCTACGCGCTAGATTTCTACGCGTAGAATTTGCGGAGTTTTAGATTTCTACGCGTAGAATTTTCAGCGCGTTAGATTTCTTTGCATGGAACTCTCGGCGCATTAGATACCTACGCATTGGATATCTACGCGTTGGGTATCTACACGTTGTATAAGTATGCGTTAAATTTCTGTGGACAGACATAGCAACGCATTGAATTTTTACATATTAAATCCACCGTTCGTAAAATTTGTCACGTTGAATTAGTACATATTAAACTTTCGATGTGTAGAATTTGCAACGCGTTAAATTTCTGCAGGATAAATACACCACTTATTAAATCCCTGGCCATTATATTCGCAACGTGCTATATCGTTCTGCGTAAAGCAGTAATACTTGAAACAGTAGGGTGTTATATCGCGATACTTGAAACATCGAGGCTTTATATCGCGATACATGAAACAGTAACGCATATCGGCACGAATTAAGTAGTGGTACGTTATATCGAGGTAATCCATGATTGTCGTGACGTGCAATCTGTTCGAGACACGATCGATGGTTCGTTGACGTCCTTGCGGAAAAGCGAACGCCACTTGCCGTTATGCATTATACGAGGAGCACCGTGAATATTGTACCGATGAGCCAGAAGAGTAGCTGAAGGAGCAAGGATAGAGAAGAAGGGTGGTTGAAGTGGAGAGCAGCCGACTCGAGAAGCGCCGCGAGGACAGAAAAATAGTAAGAACGGTGCGCTCAAGGTAGATGGGGAGAACAGATTCCTATTGTTTTCCGACCCACTTCCTAACGCTGGAAGATTAACACAGTCCCTTGGCTGTGTCTACTGACAGATTTTTCAACGTACTGTTCGCTAGACGGTTCTCTTTTTGTTTTCTTTCTTCTTTTTTTGCGACCTTGCCAGCGTGGAAATAGGAACGACCTAAACAGGCTTGTCGCAACTTTCATGCGATCGACCTACACTTTTACATTTCTCAACGTGACGTGAAAAAGTTTCATCGGGAACATATTTTGTATAAATTTTATTCGTAATATCCTGAATCTTGTTACATTTTCTGGAGGGTTGCTATACTGTCACAAGTTCAACAATAGCAGTAGAAGATGGTTAATAATATATTGGCTCAGATTTGCAAATTCAAACCCAATGAAATCAACGTACGGTGAAGTCAACGTGCAGTAAATTTAAGATGGCGCAAATGTAACGCGTCACAAATTTAATGCATAGTAAATTAAACGCATAGTAAATAATATCCATGGAGAATAGTGTGCAGATATCTGACGAGCAGTTATCTAACGCGTACAAATCTAACGAGCAGTCACCTACCGCGCAGTAATCTAGCGTGCAGGTATCCATCGTGCATAAATCCAACGCGTGTACATAAAATTATTTTAAACTAAAATGTCGGAAACTTGTAAACGTAGTAAATTCAACAAAATCAGCAGTTGCCAGTAATTCCTATGACACTCAACGCTGTTAGCGTAGATTTGAATTAGTGTTGAGTTGTTTCTATTTACCAGGAGCAGGGTTGAATGCAGTTTCATCGTGTCGCGATACAAACGCAATGCGTCGAGTGGCTCGTATTCCATTTTAATAGAACCACAACGGAGTCTGGCTGTGACGATCGAAATTGTCCTGGTTTCTCATCCTAACGCCACGTAGGAGTGTTCTACTAATATTTAACGAGCGAACGAGGTTTCGCAACGATCCACGACTTTGTTTCTGTTTCTGGTCCCGACACTTGGTAATTATCCCCGTATTTAACGCGAGACCTACCCGGCTCTAATTACGTTATCAACCTTTAGTTTTTACCCACTTATCTTCAAGGAAATTTAACGTAATCACTGACAATATCGAGTAAATCCCGGAATAAAGAAAATAACAAATGTTTAACGTTATCGAACTCGCATAAAGCGAAGGCTATAACTTTTTATTTTTATCATTCATGGTCGAAATTCAAACATGGAACAGCGAAATAATAAAAATCGTGCTGTGTAAATTTAGTAGGAAAATATAAACGAATGAGGAAACCGATCGTCGAGTTCGAAAATACCCACTTGCGAGCGCAAAGTGCAGAAAACAATGGAGAAGTACTATAACCCTTTCAACTGAATTGTTAGCAGAGAAATCTCTCTGCGTTTTCGCTTTATTCGCCAACTATATACGTTTAATCGTGTACGTTCCAATTAAAAGCACTTTTATCGCGATCTATCGGGTTCACATTCAAATGGAAACTCGCGCGAGTACACATTTGGAGCAGATTCCTCAAGGTTCCCGATGAAAACGGATTTTTCAAGGCTCAACGATTTTTCATTATCCTTCCAGACAAATGCCCCCGTTATTATCAATTTCATGGATGCATCTCTCACGGTTGATTAAACATCCGGCTCCCCGGGCATGCAAGAGATCCGGACTCGATGACGGAATTAAAGCACTATTAAATCCATTCGTCGCGTCACAACGTGTGCAGATACTGTAATCGTTGTGTGTCACCGGTCAGATAAACCCGTGCCTCGAATCTGCGATATCGATTTCGAAAATCACGATTCCCGTGTCCCGCGATATTGGAACGTTTATTGAATTTTTACTCGTTCCACTTTCGACCCCGTGGAAGTCCCGTTTAGCGAATTAATTCGAGAAGGCACAAAGGGGACGACCTTGAAAAACGTTCGCTCGTGAATTCCAAAAGAGATCGTACCACTTTTGTGACAACTGAAACATTCATCCTCTCGGCGGTTCAAATTTTCCGTTCTCCTTTTTAATTCAACGCGAAATAAAAACAACGAAAGTTTACGCCGGTCTCTCCCGGGTATCTGGAACGAACGTTCCCCCTTTGTTCACGAATTTACAGCCACTGATCAACGAGAAAGGATTCTCTGGCAGTTTGCTCGCAGCCTGGCTGCGACAGAAAATATTTGCGAGAAGCTTTCGGACCGGGGAAATAAAACGAAACACCTTACCGCTTACATGCGAGTCTACGAAAAAATCTTCGCGTTTCTTCCCGCACGATCATGCACAACGTAATCGACGATGTATGTCTGCTAACGCGTGCAGTCGACGAGAAATAAAGGATTAGTGACTGAGAAGAGAATGGCCGAATGCTTGGTGCACTAAGTTTCAACACGGTTCTTGCGTGGTTGCTTACCCTTCGTGATAGAGTGGCGAGTGTGTGCAGAACTGGTCCTTTGGATAGTTTCCTCAGAAGCGGCTCCAGCTGGAACAGAAAAGGTTCGGTCGAATTAATTTGGAGGTTTGATAGCAAGGTATTTGGTAGAAATTAGGGGGTTTAGGTTTGAGGTTTAAGGAGTTGGAAATGTAGAAATTGGAGGGTGCAGTGATGTGGAGGTTGCGAGGTTTGGGGATGTGGGAATTTGGGGTTTTGGGGTTTTGGGATTCTGGGATCTAGGTATTTGGGGACCTAGATATTTGGAGACGTAGGTATTTGGGGACGTTAGTATTTGGGGACGTTAGTATTTGGGGGTTAGAGATATTGGGAGATGTAGATATTTGGGGTTTTGGGATTCACGGATCTAGGTATTTGGGGACCTAGGTATTTGGGTACCTAGATATTTGGAGACGTAGGTATTTGGGGACGTTAGTATTTGGGGGTTAGAGATATTGGGAGATGTAGATATTTGGGGTTTTGGGATTCACGGATCTAGGTATTTGGGGACCTAGGTATTTGGGTACCTAGATATTTGGAGACGTAGGTATTTGGGGACGTTAGTATTTGGGGGTTAGAGATATTGGGAGATGTAGGTATTTGGAAGTGTAGGTATTTAGGGATCTAGGTATTCAGAGACGTTGGTATTTGGGGGTTTAGAAATATTTGGAAATGTAGGTATTTGGGGACCTAGGTATTTGGGGATCCAGGAATTTAGGCACCTAGGTATACAAGCTTCTAGGTACTCATGGATGCAAGGATTTGGGAATCTAAGTATTTGGAGATCTAGGAATCTGGAGACCTAAGCATTCAGGGATCCAGGTGTTCATGGATATATGTTGATATTTAGAGACCTATGTATATGAAGACCTACGTATTCGTACATGTATTCACACATGTGGGTTCAATAATCCAAATACATCTGAATTTAACATATTCATTTAACATATTTGGAGACCTATGTACATGAAGACCTACGTATTCGTACATGTATTCACACATGTGGATTCGGTAATCCAGGTACATCTTAATCCACATATTCAGTGATCTACTAATTAAGCAACTCACCAATTCTCCATCTAAACATCTCAAAATTCCCAACTTCCCATCCTTCCAAATCCACAACCTCAAAACTCCGCCATTAAAAAGTTTGACCTTTTCAAACTTGTGATCTTTCCAACAAAGAGGTGAAATAGAATATCCGTTGCGGCGCTTAGAAACGGTCGAAATTGTTCGTACAAGTGAGAATATCGCGTTTAAACTTCATCGCTGACATTCGAGTTTCCTTTTCAACGTGTTCGGTCACGCGTGGTCTTTAAATAAATACCAGCCAGAAGTTTGCAGCGTTGACGTCGGCTACTCGCAACTATTCATCAAAGTTACCCGCGAGAAAGCACACGAAATAATGACATCCATTGACTCTATATAAGGCTAACTATCGCGGTGCTCGCGTCTTTCGGTCGCATCGCTAACAAGCTTATTAACGGTGTCTTCGTTAAGCCTTCTTTGCTGCTAATAATCATCTTTCGCCGAGAAATTCATCGTTCCGGCAAACGGAGCACGAGTTTCGTTCTAATTATGGCTTCCGTGATACCGAATCACCGACGCGTGCATAGTTTATACTTTTAAATGACTGCTTTAATTATTTTTCGAGTTTACCAAATTAATGATGAGATGCTTCTACATTTGGAAACTTTTTTAAAAATTGTATAAATTTCAAGAGTTTCTGAAATTATTTACAGATTTTTAAATTCTCAGATACTCAAGTTTTACAAGCCTCATATTTTATATTTTTACGTTTGTAAATTCTGAAATTCTTGAACTCCTATTTTCCCAATTTTGCAGACAGCTAAATTTCCATCTTTTGAATCCCTATTTCTCTTTCTTTCTCTTAAAAAATTCTGAAACCCTACATTCCAAAAGTACCAGTCTCTAATTGTCAATCTCAGTACACCTCACATCCCCAAAATCTCAAATCCTCCAAACACGTCCCGAACTCCTCAAATTCCACCTAATCCAGAAATCCTCAAACAGAGTATCTCAATAACAGTCTCATAACTCATATATCATCCAGTTCACCTATCAACTCGCAAACTAATTTGTAGAACTCGATCGATGCCACAATTTTCCCCCGGGAATCCAAACGTATTCACAACTTTCGTTACTTCGAATTATTAAAGTAATCGCTTTGTACCAAAGAGCGTTTCTAAAAATATTTCAAAAGCAGAACAACAAGCTGGATTGTTCTCCGGGAATAAAGTTTGCACGACAACTTAAATTAGAAGACAAAGAACGATTGCTCTACCTTTTCTTCGATATAAAGTATCCGAACAAGCGAGAACTTGGCTATCTCATCCTCGCCATTCGCTGCACTCCGACCAACCCTTTCAGGGAATTCACTTCGGAACGACCATTTAGAAAGACAAAAGGCCGGAGCACGGCCAAGATAAATCAGGGAGCCTGTTTTCGTGGTCAGTAACGTATAATAACGCGATTTAGCCGAGCCAACAATCGATTCTCTGTTTCCCGTTTCCACTGCCAACGGTTCAATATTTTGTAGGAAGAAATAGTTGCTCAATTTATGCTCTTTGTCTTCAAGACCCTCAACACTAGGTTTATAAAGTTATCTTTACAGTTGCGAGCACAAATTTAATATTTACTGTTACATATTGCAAGAAATGCACTTAATGTGTTATAGTGGTGAGAAGTATACAGGGTGTCTCACAACTCGTGTAGCTCCTGGAAAGGGGTGGTAGAGGACAAGTTTCTAAGCAAGATTTCCCTTTGCAAAAATGGGGTTTGAAGCTTCGTTTTTGAGTTATTAAAGAAAAACACGGACCAATCAGAGCGCGAGGATTCGGCGCCAATCACGGCGCGCAGTCGCGAGAGCGATTCTAAGCAATATTTCCCTTTGCGAAAATGGGATTTGAAGCTTCGCTTTTGAGTTATTAAAGAAAAACGCGGACCAATCAGCGCGCGAGGATTCGGCGCCAATCACGGCGCGCAGTCGCGAGAGCGACGCCTTCGAGCATAATGGCCGACTGGGCGTAATCCTCACGCTTTGATTGGTCCGTGTTTTTGCTTAATAATTCAAAAACGAAGCTTCAAACCCGATTTTTGCAAAGGAAAATTTTATTCAGAATTACGACCTCTACCACCCCTTTCCGAGAGTTGCACGAGTTGTGAGACACCTTGTACTTGTGTACATGTACTGTGGTGTACAATATGTTTGTGTACATGTACACAATGGTGCAGTATGCTTATGTATGCGGACACAGTGCTCCTTATTTAACGTCGATGTACAGAATTAGCCTTCAACAAGGTCACACCACTAATCATCGCTATAAATAGCTAAAATGTGACGTTCACCAAAAGAATAAGTGTCAAAACTGACACCTGGAATGGTTTACATTTTCACACATTCAAGTTCATGTGGCATCGTCATTTTGTGGAGTAATACTAGAACTCAAAACAATTTTCGTATTTTACATATTTATCTATTTATGCTGTCATTATAAACGTTCAACGATATTATCTCTTATCAGCACTTCAGTTGATACTATCTCTAAAATATGTCCGGACCTCAAAATTATTATATTTACTCGAACGAAAATAACACACGAAACAAATGAAAATTATACACAGAACAAATTAAAATACTACACAAAACAAATTAAAATGCTATATATAAAAAAATACTACACAGAACAAATGAAAATGCTATACATAACAAATGAAAATACTACACAGCCAAATAAAGCACTACACAGAATAAAAATACCTAAAATCGACAAATTAAAATGAACCAGAACCCAAAATTTACGACAGACAAGAATGAAACACGAAAAGTTAATAATCTTGCAAGGCGTTAATTAAGACGTCGTAGCAGATCGTAATTTCTGGATGTAGGAGAGGCAAATTCAAGGCGAAGGGACCAACGTTCATTTACCGTCAACAAACTACGTTATGCGCCGTCTTGGCCCAGGTGTGTGTGCGAATTCAGCTTAACAACACAATGGCCAAGTGAACTTCGACATTTGAACGGGCCAACGATGGCCCTTCGCGTATACCATTATCGATAGACGCGAGCCAAGTCGAGCGTGCAGAAACTGCCTGTGTTATGAACCGTGAAGAAGACCGAAATTCGTACGCGAGATGAATCTGCTTAAGAAGAAATGGGTATGTGCAACTTCTATGGCAAACAAATGAGTTTGGCATACTTGAGATTTTCTCTTTAGTTTCACCGACTTGAAATTTTTCTTAGTTCGTGGAATTGAACTGTTACTCTTTGTGTTCTGACTTGGAATAATGAGATGTGATTGGTTAGAATTGTAGAATTGTAAGTTCTGGGCAAACTTGCTTGTTACAGTAGTTATATGTAAATTAGTATTAAAGAAAGCATCAGAAACTTGCTAGATCTAAACCTCGTCTTGCTATGCAAGGTATTTCTATGTAAATTATCAAGGTTGATGATGAAAGGAATTCGATAGAAATTAATTCAAACGTTCAATCTTGAATTAATGTGATTCGATTGCGATTGAATGCAACTGATGTGATTTAAATTCGACAAGATTGAATTTGACGCAATTCGACGTTATTCAAATTCGATCTAAATTGCAGGCGATTCGATGTAATTCGATGTGACGTAAATTCGAGACAAGTGGAATTCGACATGACTGAATTTTGACGCGATTGAATTTGCTGTAATTGACTTCATAGTTATCCAAATTTGACGCGACTGAATTCGACAGCACAGAATCCAACATAAGTTTAACTCGATTCCTTTCAAACTCAATTCGACTCAAAATCCTTACAAAACATCACCTCTCTAAGTCATAACTTCCCAGCTCGTCCTCCACGATTCAACAAACGCACCTCAGCCTAAAACTGTCCTTCCATAACACTGTCATTCCCAGCCGAAAGTTTTCCAATAGCCCTCACAAACAGAATTTCACCGCAACAATTACCATGTATAAATATGTACATCAAGAAATACAAACAAGCTATCAAAACTTTATACGGCGTTCAACCGCGAAACTTTCGAAACGGCGTAAACTTTGCACTTTTGCTAACCGTGATAGAAAGATATTCGCGTAAACGATGCCGACCATAAATTGAACCTTAGTACGATAACGTTTGGTCTGGCTAAATATTAACGCTCTAAAGAACGGGGCAACGGTATCGAAATATATGCTCGGGTCTCGTAAACGAATCGTCGTGAAGCAAAGTTCGTTTCGTGATTTACGAGTCGCGATATTGGCGGACGAGAAAAGACGAACGACTTTGTCGGGTTCGAGTAACTCCGTATTAAGGAAAAATCAGTTTATCAAACTTTCCTCTTCGCCTCTAAGTGCTCGTCTTCTCTGCAGGAGGTGTATATCCTTGGAGAAATCGTTTTCGTGTCTCTTGCAGTAATGGGAGATATCCAAAGCTGTTAAAACGTCGCTATCGCGGATCGTCTTGGGGCCATAATGAAAACCGAGAAGCCGTAATTGCGATGAGATCGGTCATTTTTATACAACGATTTGTCTCGTTACTTGTCGTGTAAAAAAATGTCAGACAGCAAAAGAGTTAAAAAATAAAAGCAGAACTCGGTCATTTATATCCAGGCATAATTATTTATTTATCTACAGACCACCAATCTGACCAATTAAACATATCTTCGTTTAGTATGGAAGTAAAATGTCGAACAAGTACGTAGTTGAATTTTCCTCATTCATTCTCATAAATATTAATGTGTACCATATCGGTAATAACGCATTTCTAAAGTTATCGCATACTATGTGCTCATGCGCAAAACTCTATATAAGCTCGAATGTTCGGTAATCCTTAAAAGTAGTATCAAACCTCTAAGCTTCAAATCCAAGAATCATGGCTTCTACTTTTCTGAAGCTTTTGGTGGTTGTAATAGTTCTACTGGTGGTCTACGTGGTAAAGGCGTACAGCTACTGGAAGAGACGAGGAATTCCAACGGCCAAAGGAGTCATTCCGTTCCTGGGTCACATGTTACCTGTGTTTACTTTCAAGGTGAATGTCTCCGAGTTAATACGCGAGATGTACACCGAGAACAAGGACGTCAGTATGGTCGGATTTTACAAGATGACCACTCCAGTGTTGCTGATTCGCGATCCACATTTATCGAAGATCGTGTTGCAGAAAAACTTTTCCAGTTTCCAAGACACCGGCGTGAGAATCCATCCGGATAAAGATCCACTTTTGTCAACGAACCCGTTCTTCTCCACCGGTGAAGTATGGTCGAACTCGAGGAAGCGTTTAGTGAGCGCGTTCACCAACGTGAAGCTGAAAATGCTGTCCGGGGTGGTGAACGGCGTATGCAAGAAGATGGAGGACTTCCTCGACCGGCGAATACGAAAGAACGAATGCGAAATCGAACTGAAATGGTTCTTCTCGAAATTCACCGGCGAGGTGGTGGCGAACGCCGGTATAGGCGTGGAGGGCTTCTGTTTCGAGGACGAATCGCATCCCGATGCTTTCGATCGGATCGGGGACCTGCTATTCAAGTCGGGCTTCAAAATGGTGCTGGAGAACACGGTGGTGTTCGCTCCGAGACTCAACGACATTTTAAAATTGAGACTCGTGCCGAAAAAGGTGGACAAATTCTTCAGGGACGTCGTCAGACAGACTCTCATTACTAGAAAAAGTGAATCGGTTCCTAGGAAGGACTTTTTGCAATCGATAATCGACTACGAATTGGCGGCAAACGGAAAGTTCGACGAAGAGACGATCGCCTCCGAAGCGCTTTCCATCTACATGGACGGCTACGAAACGTCCAGTATCACTCTGAGTTTCATCGGTTTCCACCTGGCATCGCATCCAGACATTCAGGAAAAAGTGAGAAAGGAAGTGATGTCCAAATTAGAGAAACACGACGGGGTCATAACGTTCGAGGCTCTGAAGGAGATGACGTACATGGATCAAGTGATCAGCGAGTCGCAAAGGTGCTATCCTGCCATAGGCTTCTTAACCAGAGTCTGCACGCAGAGGTGCGAGCTGCGAGGATCGGACGGGCTGATGTTGCATGTGGACCCTGGCGTAGAAATCGTTATATCCAACCATGGACTACAAGTGGACCCGGAATACTGGTCTGATCCGGACGTTTTTGATCCGGAACGATTCAGAGATAACCAGCCTACAGAAAAATTGATTTTCCTTCCCTTTGGACAGGGTCCAAGGATATGCGCCGGAGTAAAACTGGCCAAGCTTCAGATGAAGTCTTGTATATCTTCCTTGTTGAGCAAGTACAGGTTGGAATTGTCGAAGAAAACGCTGTTGCCTCTCAAGTTTTCTAGCTTCAATTTTGTGTCGGAACCAATCGGGGGACTTTGGGTTCATGTTTCGAAGCTTTGAAGCATTTTACGTTGTATATTGGAACTCGAGAAGTTGCTAAACATTTGGCAGTATTTCGCATAACATGACGCGTCATATTATCACGCGTTTATCATTATACGTGTTGTTCATTGCATTAGGCGTCCCTGAAAATAATGTATAGGTATGCTACCATTAATAATTCCGTCCCTGTCTTTTATAGAAGCAATTATTGCGATAGTATAGTTTCGAGCAATAAAAATGGAAGCGATAGTGACACGAACACATTAATCACATTTATCCATAATCAACATAAACGTTATTCTAAAAAACAAATATTTTTTACTACTTTGCAGCAGAGGCTTTCCTGAAATTATTATTGTAACACAAAAATAAATTCTACGAAATTAATCCTGCTTTCTTTTATACTAATTATAGATCACCCTGAAATACATGCATGATTTGTGAATGTATTGTGTTGTATTTTATTATGCTCATACAATAAAGTTTTCCAAATTTACTTATTTCAATCCACTTCCTAAAACAAACTTCCCACTCCGTAGTTTTTTATGGGGATTAAAATCGATTGCGAAATAAAAATTAAAAAGGAGGGAGTACTTTTGTAGAAATATATGAATTGTTTAGGTATCGATTATCGCTCGAGACGCGAAAGTTTGACTAATGACCAGAACAATATAGAATAAACAAGAGCGTCGAACGGTCTTCGCAATAAAACAACGCCGAAAAAACCCGATTCACTGAAACGACATAACGCGTGCAGAGTGTATAACAGGGAAAAATAATTTCCAGCAGTCGAAAATAGCACGTTTCGCACGCATTTGCATCGTTCGAAAACCGTTCGACAAGAGGAATCGAAATCCGTTCGACAAACGTTACGTGTCAATGCATGGAAGTAAACGACGTGACACGAAATCGACGAAGGAAAGGATATGGAATGGAATAAAAGGAAACAATGACAGGAATAAACATGAGACACGAAACACCACTCGTATAACGAGCACGTTCGTTTCGACTTCCCGTGCGAACACCTTCGCGAAAAGGTCCTCCGGTAAACAGTCCCCTGATTTACTACCCGCTGCCCACGAATTGCAAATAATCATCCTCTCGAGCTGTTTCGCGAACGAGCTTCCGGCGTTTTTCCTTCCGGAATTAATTCTCGCCACGCGGCAACATTTAACGACGTCGAAATAATCCGACCAAGTCAGAAAGCTACCCGGACGAATGCCTTTCCTAACGCTTCGAACCTTAAAACGCCGCCATTTGCACACCACCGGCTAACGAATACTTGCTAACTCGGTTTCTCAAAGAACCTGTAATTGCTACCTCGACTACGTGGATACACGGTGAAAAGAAACAAAGGTAATACGGAGTTTGCGAGAGCCTACGAAGGCCGCAGCTTGTTAGGGAAAATTAATGTGACGCGAGTTGGACGAAATTTTTTTAAATAATAGATGATTGAGATGATCTACTTGAGGGATGTTTTAGGGTATTGTGGGATTGTGGGACTTTGTACATTTGGCGCGCTGGGGATTCTTTTATTTTTGGATTTGTGGAGATTTTGGTACACTGAGGCTGTGGGGCTCTGAGAATTGTGGACAGTGCGATTTTGGATCTCTGAGAGTTCTGAACACTGTGATTTTGGGACTTTGAGATTTCGGTACACTGCGAGTGTGGGTCTCTGAGACTTATGGACACCGTGATTTTGGATCTTTGAGATTACAGTACACTGCGAGTGTGAGTCTCTGAGACTTCAGTACACTGCGAGTGTGGGTCTCTGAGACTTATGGACACTGTGATTTTGAGCCTTTGAGATTTCAGTACACTGCGAGTGTGAGTCTCTGAGATTTCAGTAGACTGCGACTGTGGGTCTCTGAGACTTCTGGACACTGCTATTTTGGGTCTCTCAGACTTCAATACGCTACGACATTGGTGCTCTGAGACTTCAGAATACTGCGATTGTGGACCTCTGAGTCTTCAGAACCTTGACCCAGCTCTTTCAATCTTTTCATCCATAATTTCAATCTATAAATATTTCAACCTACTTCAAAACCTTGAAATCATACAAACCTTGAAATAATACAGTGTCCAAAAGCACTAACGTTCGCAGAATATTCGAAACGCAGTTTTAATGAAAAAAAAAATGTACAACCTTGCAAATATGTAATATGTACTACGACAATAATTCCAAAGAATGCTACCAGCAATATCACGTCAGAGTATAAGATTCCGCAGCTTCCTTGCATTAATTAAAGATGATCCCAGTCAACGAGGAGGCTCGTAACTCCACCGAGGCAACAACGGTTCGCGCTTCATAAATTTCGTGTCGCGGACAAAAGGGTCCGACGAGGGGTTGTTTCAGGCGATCCCGGATCGTCCCGAATCTGCATTCGCGCGATTCGAATATACGGAGCCACTGTAAACCATTGAATGTCGCAATGTTCCGCAGTGGTGAGCCATTAATGTGAGCGCCGCATGCACGCTATCAGGCGGCAATAAATTTATCGAGGGCAATGAATGCGACGCGTTGCACTCTCTGATATTCCTTCGAGGAACAACGAACTTCGATTACGGACTTTTATTGGTTCGGAAGGATTTTGCTGATCGGGGAGAATATGTTATATTGAGAGAACAGGGTTCAGGGTCGTTGGAGGAGGAATAAAGGGTGAGAGAGAGATTTTTGCGTTTGGGGATTTAGAAAGTTTGGGGGGTGGAAATTTGGGGATTTGGGAAACTTGGGAATTTGGGAAATTTGGGGAGATGGGAGTTGGGGGACTTGGGAATTCGGGAGATGGAAATTTGGGGATTTGAGAGTTGGGGGGCTTGGGAATTCGGGAAATGGGAATTTGGGGATTTGGGAAATTTGGGGATTTGGGAAATTTGGGGAGATGGGAGTTGGGGGACTTGGGAATTCGGGAAATGGGAATTTGGGGAGATGGGAGTTGGGGGGCTTGGGAATTCGGGAAATGGGAATTTGGGGATTTGGGAAATTTGGGGATTTGGGAAATTTGGGGAGATGGGAGTTGGGGGACTTGGGAATTCGGGAAATGGGAATTTGGGGAGATGGAAATTTGGGGAGATGGAAATTTGGGGAGATGGAAATTTGTGGAGATGGAAATTTAGGGAGATTGGAATTTTGTAATGTAAAAATTCGAAGATTTGAAATTTTGGGGATTTGGAAATTTGGGGCTTCGGAAATTTGAAGATTTGACAATTTGGGGCTTTGGAAATTTGGAAATTTGGGAGTTTAGAAATTCGGTAATGTAGAAGTTCGAAGATTCAGAAATTTGGGGGTTCAGAGATTTATGAACCTTGAAATTTCAAAACCTGAGACTACGAAAGCTACAGTAATAAATATAGCTACCCAGAAAATCCAACAACTTGCATCATAATGTGAATCTTCAAACATCTTCAAACTATCAATAAAGCAAATTTCTTCCTCCTTAAAATTCTCTCCCACAAAGTAACTTCACATGATTCAAACTGATCGATCAGCCAAGATCGATCGTAAAATCGATATCAGAGGAGATGGATCATCGAATGACTGTGCTAGCAGTGGGCAAGGTTCGCGCGCAATTGAATCGCGGCGCGAGAAGCCAATCACGCGGATGGGGTCGCGGATATGAACGCATTACGTGGACCAGTTAATTCTTCGTCGTTTCATTTCCGGCTAGAGGGGACAAGTTCATTTGCACGTCGTTACCATGACTCGTGATTATCGTTTGGCGCGTTCGCGATATACATATATACGTACGAATACGTTTCAAGGACCAGGCGAGCAAATATCAACCGTTTAACTAGTTGGCAAACACCAGTTAACGCGTTTAAAGGGGCGTTAGCTAAGCTTGCGGCCTCCACTCCATTCAGCTAGTCGAAATACCAAGGTACACATTCGTGGCCCCAAGGGACAATCGATTATTAATTTCAAGACGAATCGGGAAAACAATCGAATTGTACCAAGATGATCGAAAAATATATAGGAATTGTAGGTATATCTTCTTCTGGTGTCTTCAAATCTTGAATATATACTTTTGGAACATTTTGAGGTCTTATTTGGAACACTTTGAGGTCTCTTTTGAAATTTTTAGGTCAGTTTATTGTTTCATCTCATTGGTTAGGTTACGCTAAGTGCTTTATATTTTAATATTGTTCAACTAATTAATAATTGTATAAAAAACTGCAGATTCACGTTCAGTGTATTCAACATATGTGCATTTAGGGTTGAAAAAATTGACTGATCGTATACAATATACACTATTAAAATTTTATTCGTGGTAATTGTTAAACGAAAACTGTCACCAGACATGTAACCAACAAATTATAAGGTTCAACCTAATTAAAGACTACCGAGACACTCAGTGTTAATGGGGTACTTCAGGACCCTACCGTGGCAATTAAGGGTTAATAGTTACTGGGATTCCTTGGAAAACCAATTATTGCACTCTTGCTGTGTTCTGGTATGCAGCGTAACGAGTGTCTAAAAAATACAAATGCTCCTCTTTTTAATGAAACTGCATTTTTTGTATACAGATAAACAACGTACTGTATATGAAGATCTGCAGTTCGTGAAACATTGCAGTGGGAAAAATTTTGTGCAAAATGTAAACACATTAATGAATTCGTCTTTTGTTTATGGACAGAGTAATAATGTTAACATTATACGGAAAGTATAATGTTTTTAATGCTATACAGACATAATGTATTATAAATATTATAGTGATGCTGACTTTAACCAGTTGACCTATGCATTAATTGTGAGGTGCGTCAGACAGTGCGTCAGTGAAGTGGGTCAGTTAGGTGCGTTAGTCAAGTGCTTCATTCAGGTGCGTCAGTCAAGTGCGTC